ATCACAGATCTTAGGAAAGGCCCTTAGAGGCCATCTGGTTTGACATCCTCATTTTACATATAGGGAAACTGAGGCAAAGGGACTTGCCCTAGGTGACACAGAGAGTAAGTTTCAGAAATAGGTTTTGAACCCAGATCTTTGGACTCTGGAGTTGGTGTTTTTTCCTTTGTATGTGCTTCCTGGTTGTGTGACCTTGGGGGAGCTGCCTACCCTCTTAGCCTCGTTCCCTCGTTCCCTCGTAAAATCAAGATCATAATGCCGCCTGCCCAGCCTGCCACCGGTGGCTTGTGAAAGCTTAATGACAGAATTGTTATACAATGTACCTTGGAAATAATAAAGCATATAAAAAGTCGTCTGTAATAATTTTGTGGGCTCCCAGTGGGTAGGGCCCATGGGCAACCCAGAGCACAAGGAAGGGGAGGAGAGATCCAGCGGCCCCAGGGCCTCTTGGTCTCCCAGCCCCGGGCCCTGCAGTGGACCAAGGAGAGAAAGCTGATGTAGTGCGAAGGAGGAAAGTGAGGCTGTGAAGGGGAAGCCCGGGGCAGGGAAGCAGGACAGGCCTCCACCCCCAAGCCATAGCCCAGCAATGAAAAGGATAATAGCTGACATTTATACGGAGTTTTAAGGTTGGCAAAATTCGTTGTAGACATTATCTCATTGGGTCCTCACAATAACCCTGGAAGGGAAGTCTAAGTATTATTCCCGTTTTGCAGATGAGAAAGAGACCTGAGAGAAAATCCTGACAGCTACTCACTCCCTATTCTCAGGCCTCATCTCTATAAAGAGGAGGTTGGATTAGGTCGGAGATTCTTTCAGGTGTTGACGATCCCCTGGGGCAGCAGGCTGAAGCTTGGGGCCCCTTCTCAGAATCAGGCTTTCTAATATTTGGGGGGCGTGTTAGACATTAATGAAAACAGAGATGTCTTTTTCCCCTGTCCAAGCTCACAGACCCTTGAGACTGGTGGTAGAGTTGGGGAGGGGGTATCCCACAGTCCTGAGAAGTGGGGGCAGTATGATGGGGTGGGGAGTGAAAGGACTTGGGTTCAAATCCTTTCACTGAGACTGACTTCCCATGTTACTTTAAGCAATCCACAAATATTAGTACAAGTCACCTCATCTCTGTGGGCCTCAATTTCCTCATCAGCAAAATGAAGAGTTGGAGTACCTAGTTACCTGCGACCCTAAGTAATTCCCTGTCTTTGGGGTGAGCCTCAGTTTCCTTTTCTATAAAATAAAGGGGTTGGGTTATTTGATCTCTAAGGCCCTTTCCATCCCTGGATCTATGGTCAGATCATATGATTTGCTCAGAGTCTAAGTAGGATTGGGAGCTAGGTCTGCATGACCCCCAGTCCGGCCCCCTACCCACTGGGCAATGCAGCTTCTGCTGACCTGGGGCCATTCGGGGGGCTCAATCAGTGATCCTATGAGCCAACCTGACCCTCAGCCTTTGAAGCGCTCCTCTCATGGCAGGTGCCCCAGCTTCCTGCCAGGAGCCATCATCCTCCTGCCCCTCTTGCCCTTCAGTCCCCTTGATTAGGCATGCTTCCCGTGGGAACGTTGGCGCCAATGTCTGGAGCTCCCTAGGGTCTCCCTGTTACCTGCCCACTGCCTCCACTCCTATCAAACTCTGGAACAAAGGGCCCGGTGCCTACCACCTGGCTGGCTCTGTTTGCCCAAGGTGGGTCCCTCCTGGCAGAGATGCTGTGTAAACAGAGGAACTGGCCCCACAGAGCTAGGAAAGAATGGGACCGGGGTGGCCTTTCCAGGAAGCTATACCTGCTCCACACTTCTCAGCCCCAGTCTGCACCCCAGAACCAGGGCCTCACAGAGCCTGAAAAAACCTGACCCAGCCACAGAGGCTGAGGAGGGAAAAGACAGGGAGGCCTGTTGTGAGGGGGCCTCAAGGGGTTGAGAACAGACCTGTGCAGGAGACAGTTTGGGAGAAAGAGTGCAGGTTTGAGGACCAGAGTGTGAATCGTAGCTTTGATACTTTCTAGCTAGTTGTGTGACCTCAGGCAAGTCCCTTGCCCTCTCTGGGCCTGCTTCTGTGTCCTCCTCTGTACAATGAGGTGCCTGGATTGGGGCTCTGAGGGTCCTTCCAGCTCTAGATTTATGAGCCTATAAGCCTGGGCTCCACCAATAAGGATTCATCCCTTCAACTTGGGGCTTTGGGGGAACTGGACTTCTGAGGACTCATGCTAAGCAGGCATGGCTTCTCCCCTCTGGGGTCTCTCCCCTGGCATCCTTGGCTTGACCTTGGTACAGGATAGCATTATTAACACAGAATTCTAGAACTGGCAAGGATTTCTCGGGCCATCTGGTCTACCTCCCTCATTTTTACAGCGGAGGGGCTTTACAAAGCCCCAGGAATCGCCTGAGGTCACCCAGCCAGCGAGTAGTCAGCATTTCCCAGGACAAGAACGCTTTTCCTTGCAGCTATCCTGACTCTGGGAGCATGGAGCCCACCAGAGCCTGGCCAGGGCCCTTGCACTATTTTCCGAGGCTCCGGGTCTCAAAGTCACCAGTCATTCCCAAACGTTTCCCCTTCTAAATTAGAATGGAAGTTCCCCAAGGGCAGGGATCGGCCAGCTTTCTTTTTCCGCAGTATCCTCAGTGTTTAGCAAGACACTAGGCATCAATGCTTTCTCATGCATTCGTTTGTGCTTGGGGAAAGTAGCATAAAACATGACTGAGGCAAATGATGTAAAATGTCCCCTCTGGGACCCCAGCCTTTGAAGGGGGAGGCAGGCACCTACAACTTCCTGGAAGGAAGACAGGTGAGAGAGAGCCATAGCTGTGGATAGGGGTGAGCGGCATTTTAACTAATCGACTTCGGCTCACTCTATGCTGCTGAGTTGCTGCAAATGTCTTAGGATCCTAGGTTTAGGAAAGGACCTCAAGGGCCACCTAAGTCCCTCATTTTACAGAGGAGGAAACTGAGTCCCCGGGAGGTCACAGGATCATAGATCTAGACTTGGAAGGAACATAGAGGTTATCTAGTCCAATGAGGGGGAACCTCTGCCCTGCTGCCCCCCCCCCCCCCCACGGTGGCAGCGGCCAGAGCCACTTTGAAGCAGCCCTCATCATTCCCAGGAAGGTTTTCCTTAGATGCATTCTACATTTACAAACTCTTGCCAGCTTTCACCCATCGCTACCAGTTCTTACCTTCTAGGGGCAAGCTGAACAAGTCTGAAGACTCGTTCACGTGACAGCCTTTAGTTTCTTGACGACGGCTTTCCCTCCTCATGCCCCCAACCCTTCTCTAATGCAGGTGAAAGTCCAGCTTGACTGAAAGAAGCTTCACTCGCTTCCTTCAGGATAAAACACAAACTACTCTGTCAGGCAACCGCAGCTCCCCTTCATGATCTGACTCAAGCCTACCTTTCCAGCTGGATTCCACATTTTTAGTAAGAATAATAGTAGCTAGCATTTGCACAGGACGTTAATGTTTGCAAAGCATTTTACGTGTTATCTCACCTAATCATCAAAACAACTCTGTAAGTGTGATTATTCACCCCATTTTACAGATGAAGAAACCAAGGCCGAGAGTGAGGTTAAGTGACTCGCCCGCCGAGGGTCACCCAGCTAGTGTCAGAGGCAGAATCCGAACCCATCTTCCTGACTCCAGTTCCAACACTATCGGCTATGGCACCCAGCTGGAATGCTACCCTTCCTCGCCAACTCCCTTCTAAGCTTACCTAAAGGGCCATCTTCTTCAAGAGACCTTTCTCCATCCCCGCGGTTGTTCAATCTTCACTCCTAACATCTCAATGCGCTTTGTGTGTCTTTGTCTCGATAAGGACAAGCACCGGACCGGTGATTTCAAGCTCTCGGATGACTCCCTCTTCCCGGCGCACCTCTCTGCAGTTCAGAGGGTTGCTTTCGGCGTTGCCCACGATCACGCGGTCCTTCCTTATCCGACTTGCCACTGCCCGCCTACGCGACCTTGGGTAAGTCACTGGGCCTTAGTTTCCTCATCTGTAGCGGACAAGGTGCTGAATTTGGAGTTATGGCAGCTGAGTTTATTCCTGGCCGTGTTACCTTCATTCAACGTGTCTGGGCCTCAGTTCCCCCATCTGCGAAATGAGGGAGTTGTGCCAGAGGCTCCATCCCAGAAGACTTTCAGAGAGGCGGGAGACATCCCTGGAAAGAAAGAAGACAGTCCGACGCAGGGCGCCCGCTGAGGACGGTGTGGACGCTGGGGGGCGCTCCACGCCCGCTCTAGCCCACCCGCAGCCACCCCCCCCCCTCCGCCAGGTTCCAGTTCCCAATGCCAATGAGGACTAGGGGGCGTGGCTTCCTTCGCTGATGGACGGCGTCGCCCCGCCCGATCTAATTCATCTTTTCTTGAGCTCCTCCCACCGCCCGGTCTCTAGGCTTTGGGGGTGGGGCTGAGGGGGGGCCACTGCCAACCGGGGACTCAGGGGGCGTTCCGCGGGGGGGGCGGGCCCCCCTGAGCCTAGACTCTGCCCATTGGCCGTCGGAAGGCTAGGGGCGTGGCGAGGCGGGCGATGGGCAGGAGGCCGGCCCGGCCCCTCTCGCCCTGAGCGGCCGCGGCAGTGCAGGCTCGAGCAGAAGTGAAGGAGGGCGGGCGGGCGTGCGGGAGGCATCCCAGACCCCCTGGAGCCCGAACCGCGGAAGCCAGAGCCCAGCGCTCAGATCTCAGATCCGGACCCCTGCTGCACCCCGGGCGGCCGTGTCAGCCCCTGGATTACCTTGCGCCTCGGAGCACCACCGCCGCCCCGAAATCTGTCCGCGGAGGGGCCGGCCAGATCCCGCCGGGCCCGGGCCCCTTTCCCCCGAGGACCTGCCTGCGCTCCCACCTGGCAGCCCGCCGGCCGCGTCCAGCCCGCACCGCCTCCGGCCTGGGCTTGGGTCGGCCCCCGAGCCTCCCCGCGCAGCGCGCCGCGAGGGCGGCCCCGGCCCGGACCCGTGGCCGCCCGGCCATGGCCCGAGCCCGCCCGGGCTGCTGGCCGCCGGGGCTGCGGGGGCCGCTCCTCCGGCTCCCGCCGCTGCTGCTACAGCTGCTGCTGCTGCTGCTGCTGCCCGCCGGCAGCCGGGCGCTGGAAGGTGAGCGAGCCCCCCGGGGGTGCGGGGCAAGAAGGAGGCGGGCGGGCATCGGGCCGGGGAGCCCTCGTCGTCCGGCCCGGGCTTCTCTGGAGGGGCCGTCTCTCAGGCTGCCCGGAGCCCGGAGCGATCCCGCAGCCCGGGGCCCGCGCCCGGAGAAGGGCCCCGGGCCTCCGAGAGCCGCCAGCCGGGAGGATGGGGAGGTTGGGGGCAGGGGCGTGGGGGAAATCGATCGGCTGCGCTCGAGGAACGCGGGAGGGATCCCTCGGCTGGCATGGGGGCCCTGCCACTGTCATCCAGGGAGGGGAGGAAGGAGGGATCCGCTACGCGGGAGGGAGGGGGGAAGGGATCTATTAGGGGCAAGCTGGGGGGGGGGGGGCATTCTCCTGAGCGCCTCTCAGAGGGGCGTGGGGTCCGCCGGGACAAGGGGGACCCAGGAGTGCGCGGCACCCACTCGGAGACAGGTTCCGCTGGGGGAAAGCTGCGGGCTGCCATCTGCTCCTGGGGATCCCGGGGGGGGGGGGGGTGGGGGGAGGGCAACCCAAGAAACCCGCTGGGTCGCCGTGTGAGCAGCTGGGGAGATCGAGTCGGGAGCCAAATGTGAGTGTGAGTGGGGGCGACCGAGTATGTGCCTTGTCTGTGTAAGTGCTTGCGTGCTTATGTAGGGCTACCCGCGGGCTCCCGGAGGCTGTGCTAACCGGGCCCCAGCTAGCCCGCTTTGTCGGGTGGAGGGGATGAGGCTGGCATCCGCCGAGAGGGCTGCTGCTGGCTTGCGGGGGTGGCAGGGGCTGGGGCACTGTTATTGTTTATCTATTAGCAAGTGCCAACCCCGCACGAGGGGGGGCCGCCCCACCCAGCCCGGGGGCTCACCTCTGTGTGGATTTCACTAGGAAATCCAGGCAGGCCGGCGGGCAGGCGGGGTCTACTGGAGGCCAAAGCGCCCCTAACCGGGCCCCCGAAGTTTCTGGTTTGATCCTGGCCCTCCCGACAGTGCCAAGTGTGGAAAACTGGCCAGCAACACAATGGCTTGTGCTCACACCTCCTCCTCCTCCTCCTCCTTTTGCAGTTGCGGGGGATGGGGGGGGCACTCCCAAATCCCAGGGGAGCAGGGGCACAAGTGTTCTCGTCCCCTCTGGACCAAGAGCTGCTTACACACATGCCCTGTGACACAGGCATGCTGGGAGAGACATACTGGGACCCAGACACAAACAATAGAGACTTACACAGACTGATCAGCAAGTGGGAGCTCGCTCACACTCTCACGAGCACACACACACACACACACACACACACACACACACACACACATTTTAAAATGTCTGTAAATCAGGAAACCTGGGGGGGCATTACTTTTTCAAGGGGGGGATATTAAAAAAATAGAAACAAGTACTTCTCCCCCTACACACACACACACACACATACACACACACACATACACACGCATACTTCCCCCTAAAGTTTAGGAGCTTAAAATGATCCTATTAACTTGGTTTGACCATAAAAGTATCATATTTGGGTAGGAGTATAGACATAGATACAGGGTTTGGTGGGGGAGGGCAGGGGTGTGTTATGGATTTTAGAGGAAAATGTTTTTCTCCCTGTTTCTTCCCAATTTTTTAGGGGGGGGGGCTTGCTCTGAGATTGTTTTCTCTTCCCCTCCCTCAGTTTTTCTCATCCCTCTTCCCAAAGATCACTACCCTCTCACACCAGGACAAGGAGCCGGCCAGACACAGACACACACGGAGATGTCCACAGGGGCAGGGCCCACATTCGCACACTCACAAAGATGTGGGCCTGTGATAGGCTCACAGGCTGGAGAAACCAGTGAAGCTGTCTTTGTTGTTGGGTGCCTTCAGGGTGTGAATGAGAGGAGTTCCCAGCTCTCTCTCTCTCTCTGTCTCTCTCTCTCTCTCTCTGTCTCTCCCTCCCTACCTTCCTCTCTCTCTCCCTCCCTCCCTTCCTCTCTCTCTCTCTCTGTCTCTCTCCCTCCCTGTCTCTCCCTCTCTCTCTCTGTCTCTCTCTCTCCCTCCCTCTCTTCCTCTCTCTCTCTCTCTGTCTCTCTCCCTCTCTCTGTCTCTCTCTCTGGGGGGGGGATTTGGCCTGGGTTAGGGGAGTGTGTTGCAGGTGGGCGCCCTCTCCTACTTTTTGGACAGAGCCCATTGCTCTGTTCAGTTCAGCCCGAGTCTCATCAGAGTAGATGGCCTTCTTAATGGGCTCTGCTCCAGTGCCTAGCTTGTTAAGGGAGCTGGGTCAGGAGAGGAGCGGTTAGAGACCTCATGTCAGATAAGCTTGATCAACAGAGAGGAGTCAAAGGACCTAGATTTGAATCCTGTTTCTACCTGTGTGACCTTGGGCAAATCACTTTCCATCCTCTGGGCCTCAGTTTACATTTAAGGGCATTGGACACTGAAGCCACTAAGGTCCCTTCCAGCTCTGGATTCCTGTGAGCTGAATAAATGGGGCGGGCAGTTGGTTCTGAACTATGGAGAACAAGTCTCTGTGTCAGGCGCTTTTCTGACCATGTGAGGAGAGGGGAGAAAAGTCAGGAAGCCTGTGCTCCTGCGTTCCCTGGCCTGTGCTTTCTGGCTGTAGAGTGGGTACTGGACCTTCTGGCCTACCTGGGTTAGCTCAGCCCTTCCCCTCCCCCCATCCCAATCTTGCACCTGATTTCAGGGCACCAGAAACATGAGTGCAAATGGTGGTGATGGTAATAATAGCTCCCATTATATAGAGTTTACAAAGCCCTTGCCATGCCTTATCTCATTAGCTCTCACAACGCTTCAGTCATGTGGTTGCTCCTATTATCCCCATTTTCCTGATGAAGAAACTAAGTCTCCAAGGAGGTGACTTGCCTGGGTCACACAGTTAGTAATCAACTGAGGCTGGGTTTGGACTTTACCTGTCCTTACCAGCTACTGTGTTGGGATGCTTTCTGATGAAAGCCTGGACTGGTCCCAAACCTCCTCCTTACTCTCTAGCCTGGGGGTCTTCCTGTACTCCAGACCCCAGCACCTGCAGCCTGGTCTCATTATGGCTGTTTCAGGGTGTGTGTGTGTATGTGTGTGTGTGTGGCGGGAGGGAGAGGGGTGGGGGAAGGGTTGCCTGCCCTAGAAATCTGATCAACCCTGGGCTAAGCTAATTTCTATGATTTGCTATGTCCTACCTCCTTGTAGGAAAACTTAGGCCCTTGCTCCTCCAGAGCAGACCCAGGGCAGGCAGGAACCCCACCTTGTCCTGATGCTCAGCCCACAGGCATATTCAAGTCCATGGCCCCCGCTCTCCTCTCCTGCAGCTCCAAGGAGTGAGTGAGGGGATGTCTTATGAAAAGCAGAGTCGCCCCCTTCTTGCCTCCTGCACTGAGCTCTGAATGCAGATTGGCTACCTTGTGGAAACAAAGAGTCTCCAGGGCAGTTGGGATGCCTGGGTCCTAAGATGGCAATGGAAGGGCTCAGGAAGAAGCCTTGGGGGATGTGTTTGAGTCATTCCAGGCTGTAGAGGGTGATGTTCTGTGGGGATGGAAACAAGGATCTGTCCCCCATCTGTGCCTTGCTAAGAAGGGGGAGAGATTCCTCTGGATTCTTGTCATTCCCCAGACTTCTGCCAGGGTCACATTGGTGCAGTGGCAGTGAGTACCTCCTGAGAACATGACCTTGGGGAGAACTTTTATGGTTGCAACTCATGGGTCCTTTGGTTCCAGACCTGACTATTTCCCCCCTGTCCACACCTCAATGAGAGGTGGTGGGAATTCTGGTTCCAACATGAGCCATCTAACCTTGGGAACCTCACTCAAATGCACCTTGCCTCAGTTTCTGCACCTGTTAAATAGAGATAATAACACTTGCACTGCTTACCTCCCAGGCTTGTTATGAGGCTCATATGAGATAATGAGCCTGGTGCTTTGCAATCCTTAATGCACTATATAAATATGGGTTATTATTCAACTCCCTGCAGTTAGACAGTGGCTGGCCTTGAATCCCCTCCCAATTCCTGCCAGCTGAGGGATCATAGCTAGAAGGGACCTTAGAATCCAGTCTCCACATTTTACAAATGAGGAAACTGAGACCCAGAGTCAGGTGATGTGCCCAGGGTCACACGGGTAGTAAGTGCAGTGTCAGGATTTCAGCCCAAGACTTGGGACTCAACTCTTTTCCAACTGTGCCACCCTAGCTTCCCATAGCTTAAGACCCACCAAGGAAAGGCTCCCAATTAAAGAAAGAATATTGATCGATTACTACGTGCCAAGCTCTGCTCATCAACTTTCATTCCCCAAGAGTGTGCCTGCTTCGAACCTCCCTGGGGCCACAGCCATACAAATCTCACCAATTGAAGGAACATTCCTTCCTGGACACAGTGCCTGGCAAATGGTAGATGTTTAATGAAAGCTTGTTGACTGATCCCTGACTTTCAAGTACCTTTGGATGTCTGGGGACAGAGAGACTACAGGAGATCTGGTTGATCCTGGTCATTTTCTTGCCCCATGCCTTTTGGAGCATGGGTGCCTAGGAAGGAATGTGAGTCCTGGTTGAGTAGGATAGAACAGATTGTGGATGGGAATCAGGAGAGCAAAGGGCCCAGGGATGGATGCCAGGCCCTATCATTGGATGTATTTGAGAATTCCTCACCCATCTCAGAAGGAGTCACTGTGGGACCACTTAGGGAAAGAAGGATAAATCCCAAGGTCTCTCCCCATCTTTGTTCAGGGCCTGGCAGGTGATGAGGGAGGGGGTAGGATTGGCTCTTAGTGGGTTACGCTCTCCCTAGAACTCCAAGACCCAGTCATGGGAGGTGGTGTGTGTGTATGTGTGTGTAGCCAACTGCTGCCTTTGCTGCTGCTGCCCAAGGGACAATAGGCCCTGGTGGTTTCTGTGACTTATTCACCTGTTTGGGGAGCTTTCCCCCTCCCCTCTCATTTTGTCATGAGCTGGCATTTCTGTGGGGCCGATGACTGATGGCAGCAGGTATTTGGGGGAACCAGTTTGCTGCGGCATTTTCTTCTCATTAGC